CCGCCGCCGCGGCCAGTGGTGTTGCCGGCGGAGCAGACGAAGCTGAGGGCCAAGGCAAGGCCCAGGCCAAAGATGGCGAGGCAAGCTCGGCCAGCTGTGAGGCCACCTCTGAGGCCACCTGTGCCGGCCGTGAGGCAACAGCCTTTGCAAGATGAGTATAGCTACTATAGCGATTATGAGTATGAGTATAGCTACGGTTGAAGGAATTCCTGCATCACTTGCGATGCCGAAGCATGTGCTTGACAGAAGATCCACGACGATTGGGATATTTTAGGACTTGACTCGTCAGTGGTGCAGTGTCTTCTTTTCTCCAAACTGCTTCGTATGTCCGACGGCAAGGTCCCTTCGGAGCTGCCACAGACAGCGATGGCACGACCTGGTCTCGACCTTGAAAAAAAGAACCATATAGGGACAGGCTGGGACAGGAGAACGTGAACACCTTCCAAGCTTGCCTCTACCTATCACCTGCAAACACTCTTTTTGAAGTCCTTGGTTTGTTTACAATTGCGGTGGAGCGCAATTGTAGGACCACGGCCTGTGGCTCTGATTTTTGGAGCTGCGAAAACTGGGGCACCTTGGCGTGGTTTCCGCCCTCCAACAAAGGAAGCCGCTTCATACCGACCATGTGAGAGATGATCGAGAGTCACATGAGATTCTTGGTGTGAAGTCATGGAGGTTTCACATCCGCAACAAAATATCCTCAAAAGAGACTACATTACATATGAGCCAGCCCCAGAATACAATACTGGGTTCCAAACAGGCTGAAGGTGCTAAGTTACAAACCTTATACAAACTTATATCTTATTTTAGGTTTTGTCAAACAAGATTATCTACTAATGATCACCATTTCGCGCCATAGCTGTTTCCAACTCATGTTCTTTTCAGGGGGGTTGGGGTGACCGGATGGGACCGGTCTTCAATTGAAAAAAGCAAGACGAGGTGTTTTTCCGAGGTCAACCTGCAGGTGGTTTTCGCAGATGCAAGGGGAGAGGTCCAGCCAGAATTGATCTTATGAAGCTGAGGTGAACCTCTGGTTCATTCAACCTGCGAGAAGCGATCGCTTCCAACCTACAAGCAATGGTTCTGGCTCATATTCTTTATACCAGCACCTTCAAAGGGGTCACCAATGGAAGCACCTACACCACTAAGGGACCTCCATTGGACACTCCTTGAAGGTCCAGGTATCTTCCATCGTATTCCATCATATTCCAACCACAGATTCCAACCCCGCGCTTCAGCCCGCTAGCCCGCGAACCTTCCGCGGTCGAATGGAAGCACTAAGGGAACAAAAGGGTCTGTCGGACGAAGGACGTGTTGGGGGCAAGCAAAGGGGTGGGGCCAAGCTGCTGAAGTGAGACAAGTGAGTGAAGGTTGCTTTGGGGATGGATTCAAGTCCGTGAATGACCAACAAGTCCACACTGCAACGGGTCAATTGAATCGTCCGGGCTAGGCGAGACCAGGCAGAACGGTAAGAAAAGCACTTAGAGCATCACTGGAGTAGTTACTGTACTTGCACGGATGGGTCACTTGTAATATGGAGTTGTCCATGTATGCAAATGCAATGTAGCTCTTCCAATCCCATGTGGCTTGGGTGCACACGGCTTCGTCTAAAACCAATGGGACGCTAATCTGCGCGCAACGAAGGGAGGCCGTGTAAAAGAGCATAGAATCGTTTGAAAACAACATTTGAAGGTCAAATATGATCCCCTAAAAATGCTAAGTACCTTCTCAGGTTCGGTACGACTGGACGCCACCGTCTCACACCGTCTCAGTGTCTCCAACACATCACCGTACCTCAGAGGGTGGCAGTGGATCCCTACCGAATGGCGCTGATGATGAAAACGAGTCGAAACGTCATGTGTTGTGATCCCTTGGACGGCTGACAGTGTATGAATCATTCTTGCACACCACTTGGTCCGACATCGTCAAGTTCCTACGTTTTTTGGACATTGGGAGATTATGGAAATTGCATCGTTACAAGAGACATTCTTCTAGTAAGTCCAGTGGGTCGGATTCCAAAACCACCATGAATTGAACGGGCTTTACCGAAAAAAACACTAGTGGTTTACAAAGCAACTTCTCTTGGAAGGCGCCATCATCTCCACCATCGCAGGCGAGTGCGGCACGAAGCCGAAGCGAGCGATGGATGTGGCATTGGAGGGACAAAGGCTCAGGCGCGGAGCTTCCGCGCAGATGAGTGCCGGGGGGTGGATCAGTTGAAGCAACTGGCAGATGAGATGGGAGATCAGATATGAGAGGAATTATAAAACAGTGGACCCTCGTCCTAGCATGTCCTAGCCTTCCAAGAACGTTGAAAAGACAGGTTCACCTGGTTTTGTAGTCTGAAATTCATAAAACAATGGTTCTGTTGGTATGGCAGCCATGGCTTCACCCATGGTGGTTTAGCCTGACCGGTGCTTCGGGACTCACCGGTTACGCCTGTGGGGGCCACCGATCTTCTGAACTTGTCAGGGCCATCCAGCGGGGAACAGGTCGTTGTAGGGTGAGACACTGGTTCCAAAGGCTCAAGCCTTTGCTCTTCATTCCTTCGTTCTACTGCGGGCGATGTCACCTCTTTTTGCAGGTCACTTGTTTTAGGACTAGCTGGTGCTTAGCAGGGAATGAGGGAAGGAGTGCCCCCAAAAAGAGTGTCCTTTTCACTTCATTGCCTTATTCCATTCCAAGCACCAGTGTGTTTTGGGGGCCTTTTTCTCCGCGAGCCAAAGAGACTTTGAGTCTTGCGCCAGCCAATGCATTGAAGCATACGAATAAAAGTTGTAGAACCTCTTCCCAAGTCGTGTCCCATACCGGCTGTTTCTTCGAGCGTGGCCCTAGTTCCCCACGCATTTTGACAAACCCGTCTGGGACAGGTTCAGCTTTCAAAGGAGGCAGCTGGCTGGAAACGAAAACGTGTTTGAAGACTTGGAGAATCCCAGGATAATTTGATAGCTTGACGGAGAGCGTGAAGTTCGAGAGCTTGACGGGAGGTCTGTGAAAGCTCTGTGATCTCTCTGTGATAGCTCTGTGACATCTCCATGATACCTCTGTGAAAGGTCTGTGACATCTTTGTGATATCTCTGTGATAGCTCTGTGATACCTCAGTGATAGCTCTGTGATCTCTTTGTGATAGCTCTGTGACATCTTTGTGAATCTCTGTGATATCTCCATGATACCTCTGTGAAAGGTCTGTGATCTCTCTGCGATAGCTCTGTGACATCTTTGTGATATCTCTGTGATAGCTCTGTGATCTCTCTGTGATAGCTCTGTGACATCTTTGTGATATCTCTGTGATAGCTCTGTAATCTCTCTGTGATACTTCTGTGAAAGGTCTGTGATCTCTCCGTGATATCTCCATGATACCTATGTGAAAGGTCTGTGATCTCTCTGTGATAGCTCTGTGACATCTTTGTGAATCTCTGTGATAGCTCTGTGATATCTATGTGATATCTCCATGATACCTCATCTGTGAAAGCTCTGTGATCTCTCTGTGATACTTCTGTGAAAGGTTTGTGATTTCTCTGTGATAGCTCTGTGATACCTCTGTGGTGCCTCTGTGAATTCTCTGTGATAGCTTTGTGATATCTCCATGATACCTCTGAGAAGGCTTTGTGTGATAGCTCTGTGATATCTTTGTGCTACCTCTGTGATAGCTTTGTGATATGTCCATGATACCTCTGTGAAAGCTCTGTGATATCTCTGTGATAGCTCTGTGATATCTTTGTGATATCTCTGTGATCTGTCTGTGATAGCTCTGTGATTTCTTGTATTACCTCTGTGATAGCTTTGTGATACCTCTGTGGTGCCTCTGCGATATCTCTGTGATAGCCCTGTGATATCTCCATGATACCTCTGTGAAAGGTCTGTGATCTCTCTGTGATACCTCTGTGTAATTTCTGTGGTTCTGTGATATATATCCCTTTTGATTTCTCGCTTGTAGCTTTGTGATATCTCTGTGATACCTCTGTGATAGCTGTGTGGTAGCGCTGTGATACCTCTGATGTATCTGTGTCATAGCCCTGTAATACCTCGCAGTGCTGCAACCTCTTTGGAGGCGCAACCTGGTGGTACAGTTCAGTGTCCTCTTTGGTGGCCTCTTTGGGGTCCTCTGTCATCTCACTTTTGAGCCAATACAATTTGGGCATCGAGTCATACAAAATTGGTTTTGTAACATCCTTTTTGTGGGGGCTGGGCTCCTGCTTCCGACGAAAAGGCACCTTTTTTGGGGGGTGCAAAGGAAAGGATGCTGCTTCAGAAAAGGTGGCTGGGCCGTGTGCTGTGTTTATCCAGAGCTCTTTGGATCATCTTGTGCACTATCAGTGGTGCAGCCAGCCTCTCTTTTCGCTGCTCAGCACGAGCGTGCCGTTGGTAGCAGCTGCGCCATGCGACCCTGGACCCAAGGCTGGGAATATGCACTCCTGTTTGGCCTGAAAGAGAAACATGGTGAACCTGGAAGGTCTCAAGAAAATCTGCCAAGAATTGCGACATTGGAGCTTGAAGGCCTGAAGAAGTTGAAGGCCTGACATGGCAGGTCCTGAAACTCCACATCTCCGGTTACAGGGTGCTGTCTGAGAACAAGTGTTCCCATCCAGACAAAAGGAAGGGCCTGTGGGAGACCACGGCATTTTGGAGAAGATCTATAAAAGCCTTTGCCACTCTTGAGGCTTCGGCCAGCTGGAGGCTGTGGACAGTTCTCAATAACAGCGACCACTGGGTGCAGGACAAGAAAGTGCTTCCGCAGCTGAATTCCCACAAGCTGTTTGAGTTGCGCTCTTAGCAGGTGAGGCTGCCAGTGAGCGCACTGAACACGGACGCTTATGGAACGCGACGTCTCACCACAGAGGCCCTTTGAAATGGCCAAAAAATGCAAAAAAAAAAAGTGCAAGAGCTGAGCTTATTGACTCTACATGAGAAGTCTCCTCTTTAGACCCTGTGCAAGACACGGTTTCGAAGCACATCGCCCTCTTAATGCAGGAAGGGCGGAGCAGCTCTTTGAAGCTCTGCGTGACCTGAGTGGGGACATGCTCCAAGACGGCTAGATGGCCGCAAGCTCCACTGTAGTCACTCGGTGGGTTTGGGCCCTGCATTCACCAGATGTTTGGTCTTGCATGGTAGAGCGCTGGAATGAGTCGGACCCATCTTTGGTTCAGCGTGTGACCTCAGTTGGGGAATACCCCAGTTGGTACAACGCGCAGCTTTGCTCGTCCTAGGCCGGAGCAATCTACTAGACTCTTACTAGACACGTTTGCAGGTGGCAACTATGGACAGGAATTTTGTCAGGTCACCTCCGTCACGTCGTCTGCTTTTGATGACGAAAGCCTCGTTCCCGCCGCAAAGACGCTGACCATCTTCAATCCCTCTGTGTCAAGGAGCTGCGTTCGCTCGCAGCCAGGGTTGCACTTCACCACCCCCTTCCAGAGCTCGAGCTGCTCGAGCTGGAGGCTCTGCCTTTGTGCAGCCAAGAATCCGCGAAAGCTTTACGAAGGAGGCACGAAAGCAAATGCAGGAAGAGGTTCCCCCACGCATTGTTCACCCACGCACCATCGTTGTACAGCAATGCTTTCTTGTTCCCCACCTGCCACGTGAGGATTGGTAGATGCCAACTCTGCCTCCGCTCCTCTCCTCCTTCCTTTGCTGCAGAAAATAGATTGCCAGAAGAATGTCTGGGTTTAGTTTATGCCAGAGATAATGTCAGAAAAATTGCCAGATAGAATGCTAGAGTATATGCCAGACAGAAAGCCAGAATATACATGCTAGATTGCATGTCAGAACACATGCCAGAAAGGATGTCAGAATATATATGCCAGATAGAGCGTCAGAAAATATTCCAGACAGAATGCCAGAATGTTTGCCAGATAGAATACCATGGTGGGGGTCACGCAAACTAACGTCGTTTTGTGTTGTCGCGGCGCGTAGCCTTTTTCTTGTCGCCGGACAAGGGCGGACAACACTGGGCTCTCACCTTCTTCCGCTCCAAGCCCGTTGCTGCCTCCTCGACCGACTCTGAGTCCAACCAACTTGTGCCGACATACCTTGCCCAGAATGTGTTACTTGTTGCTAGCTGCTTGCTCCAGCCCCAGGATCTGTGAGTAGAAGACCTCGTGCGCTTGCAATACTTTGTCCCCCGCCCAAAATGTAAACAGTGCAAACGTTTAGAAACGAGCACCGAAAACTAAAACCGTTGTTATGGAGGGCTTTTCACCTGGTTCAAATCGGAGCACCTGGACAATTGCCAAACCACAAGCGCAAAGTTTGACTGTGTCGTGGAAGTCCTCCTGCAGACCTGTACACGGAATATCCAAAGCTGCCAGTTGAACATTGATTCACTACTAATTAGTGGTTGCCAGTTGGCACTACACGTCATGTTGCAGGTCAAGGAGGTTTTGTTGGCGATTTTGTGTGAGTTCCTTTTATTTTTGTGTTGGGGCCTTAAGTCAGCTACAAGTGTGCTGGATGTTTTTGCATTGAGGTAACAAAGGGACGAGCCATGACCCTGTGTGAACAAAAACAGACAATGGGGACAAAAGAGGGACACAGAGAGAGAGAGAGAGAACGAACTGCTGCGAAAAACAAAAATTGCAAAGCAGATCTTGCTAGATTCCCAAGGCCAGGGTTCCGTATTCCCATGTGAGTGGAATGAAAAAAACCTTTCAGTTTTGCACTCCCAAAGCTACCACTAAAGGGAGGGGACATGGGTGCACGGACTGGAAGAGTTCCCTACGTGGATCGGTCGCCATCGATGAGGTGGTTGCATACATGTACCCCATGAAAGAAGACCCATTCCATTGGCCCAACTATTTCATAGACCGACGGATGGTCTTGGTTTTTGCAGGTCTTTTCGATGTATCCCCTCCTTTCAGCTTTTGGATGTTCTGGGACGAAGTCCCAAGACCATAGCTACCAGTTGTAGAAGAGCTGAAAGCTTTGAGATGGGGATACATACTACGAACGAACCAGAAGCTAGCCTCGTGGAGGCCATAGCTAGGTTGGAGGTCATCGCTACGAACGTAACAAGGGATGACCTCCAACCCAGGGATGACCTCCGTCCCAGGGGAGGTCGTCATGGATGGTTGGAGGTCATCCCTGGGAACGTAACAAGGGATGTCACTTTTCCAGTCCCAGGGATGTGGTCAACAGCTTTGGAGACTCGCCGACCATCTCCCAACGGTCCAGGTCAGAAGGGCCGACAGGGCCTGCGGGGCCTGCGGCTTATCCCACCCTGTGCTCCGTGTTCGATGAAAAGGAACGGGTGCAGTGCACTGGGAGGAGGGTGACTTGCAAAGATGGTTTGAAGACCATGGTTCATTTGGAGGGTCATGGTTTTCCGGGCCCATCCTATGTTCCAAGTTGAGGGATTCTACCAGTAGTTCACGGGAACAGTTGTGTGAGCTACCTGACGAAATGGTGAGCTATGTCATGTTTTCTGGCTCACCACTGGTTCATGGCATGGTGAATCAGTTCGTCTTGACCCCCACAAGACACTGAACTCAAATGCGAGTTTGGCTAGTTTGGCAAGCCTGAACCAAACCACCACTTGATGTGAACACAAGTGTTGAAGATTCTCATGATGGAGTTTGAATCATCAGTTCAGGACTGGTTTCAGGGATGGTGAGTTTGGTGCCAGAAGGTTGAGCAACAGCTTTCAACGTACCGGCTTCCCAAAACAGAAACAGCTCTCCTCCACAGTGAACAGCTGCAGAACAGCTGTGATTTCGGCAAATGGATTCAGTGTTCCGGTCTTCGATCGACATAGAGTTGAATCACTTACCCAACATGCTGCTGGTTTGAAAATTTTGTGTAAGAACATTCCGGCTGGTGGATGCTTTTGAAGGAGTTCATCAACTGAAGAAACTGCTTAGTTTAGTTCGTCACCAGTGAGTCAGGGGCGGGCTTAGACTCCCCAACACTCCATGTACGGAACACTGACCTATGCCTGGAACCATCTGGAACCCATTGGTGGTCCAAAAATGGAGGTCATGTTTGGGTTCAAAACGGTACATTGACCAGTTGAACTTCCAACTTTCCGAGGCAAAGATTCCCAAACTTCTGAGCCCTTCTATATCGACAAAAGTCGAGCATTGCATGGGATACTACACGTATCCCGGACATGCCTCCCCAAACAAAGAAGGCCTCCGGTGTCGTAAACGCGAAGTCCCTCATTCTTTTGTGCCACACGAAGTCCCTCGCGGAGTCACGCGATCTCAGCGGGGTCACGCGATCTGTGCTGCACCACGTGCTGCGCCGACGCGACGCGACGGAGCAATGGCGACGCCGTCAACAGTGACCACCAGGTGCAGCACGGACGGATTTGGGGGGAAGTGGAACGATCCACGTGTGTGAAATGTTAGGGAAATTCAACACAAACCATCCATATGTAATAGGAAGGTGATGTGCCTTAGGGTGGGGGGTTTTGCAGGTCAATTGCATGCATTGTTGGGGCAAGACTCCGCCGTTTCGTTCCAAAATGTTTGGACAGAAAGACCTGGTTTTCAAGGTTCATTGGATAATTGGTGTTTCTTGGATTTGAATTCCCTCATGAATCACGCAGCAAAAACCATGACAAGCTTCTACTGGAATTGAACCACAAAGGAGATTTGCTCGCGACCGGGGTGATCTCGGGTGAGTTGTCAAATGAACGTTTAAAGTTTAAAGATTCACTCTCCTACCTCCATGGCGACGAGTATTACTGCACACTCTCAAACTACTGTGGGACCCTTGGGAACCTCAGCTCTCTTGGATGGTGAAAGCCGAGAACCAATTTCTCCTTCTAAGCTTTCAGGAGATCATGTCGAAAGCAGCTCCAACCAAGTCAAGTCATGCAGTAGTCGTGTTTTGGTCACGGGATATAGTAGAATTATTGTTATAGCATGTTATAGCAAATTATAAAGCATGATAGCTACAATTTGCTCGGGTGTTTCTACGAAACGAACCACGGACCGCCGATCATGTCCGGCTCCAGACCACGTCCGGACCGAACGATGCTCCAGCCGCGACCGGCCGCGCCGGTCCGTTGGGACGGACGAAAGCACCGACACCGAGGCGGGCGGAGCCGGCGGAGCCGAAGGAGGGATTTGGGGAGTCAAAGTGGGTAGGAAGCTAGTAACAAGTGCCACGCTAGTAGTAACAGGTGCCTTACTAGTAAC